GCATAGGTAAGGATTAGGCAGAGAAGAAAGTGCATGAGGAATGGGGAAAACAGGATCTCTCAATTCACTACACTGAGTAAAATTCCTTCTTTTGGTGATTGGTTTGGATTTATTTTGCAGCTGCAGAATTGTGAATCTGTTCACAAAGGCCTCTTCCCATCTTTAAAATGTGATTGCAAAGTCTGGGAGCCCTTTGTATGGTACCTGGCTTAAGAAAGGGCTGTCTCTTTCATGAACTAATTACTACTGATTGGAATTCATCCTGCAATTAGACATGTAAAATTTTAAAACTCCCTACATATATATAGATTATTTAGTTCTTGCCATCCATCATCTCTCTTAAAACTTTAACCAAATTAAGCCAGTTTTGCTAGAGTTGTTTTATAGCTAGGAAAAGCTAGGTAAAGAGTAATTAAATGTCTTGTTTAAAGACTGCAGAGCAGGTCAAAGGGCAGAACTAGGAATAAAGTAATTATCTTTGTCTTACAGAAAGCCATTTCTTCTTCTCAGCCAGTCTCAAACTTAGATCATTTATATATGTGTGGGTATATAGAGTGTGACAAATAAGAGGCAGTGCTGTCTCAAAGACACAGTAGGCAGAGATTCTCGAGAGAATCTAGAAATTTTTTTGCACACATTTGTTAATTTTTGCACAATTGGAAGTATTCTTGATGAGCTGATGAACTGCTATGATAGATTTGTCAGTGTTCTCTGTAAGAAGTGCGCAGATATCTGGGTATCTTTTTTGAGAGTTTGGTGAATCAGTGCATGTGACGTGTTTTTAAGTCAGAATAGATATAGACACATCATCCTGGAAGGTAAAATCCTTCGGACTCCCTGTTGCTACTGATGTCCTCTTGACCTATCCCTTGAGTAACTTCACTGTGATTACAGGACTATTTTGATACTATTGTGTACTCCATGGCTAGCACTATATTTAAGTCTCTCTCCAGTGGCTGCAAACTGTCTTCTCAACTCTGCATGATTAAAGCCTCCTACTTTTCTTTAAAACATGAGCTACAAACAGGACACAACTAATAAAATCAGCACCATTTCCTGCACTTAAATGCAATGTTGTAGCTCAGGATGTCAGTGTTCTTCAAATTACCATATGTTAGAGAGACTGAAGCAAAATGTTTGTATTAAATCAGTTTTCCCAGTGGGGGGGGAAAAAAAAAAAAGAAAAAAAGAAAAAGAAAGAAAGAAAGAAAGAAAGAAAGAAAGAAAGAAAGAAACCGCAAATTGCCACACAGACTCGCTGTCCCACACATGCATGCACACATACACATGCACAGATAGGAACAGGAGGAACGGAAAAGGAAAATGCACTGAGGATATTAGTTGTGAGTGAATGGTTATAGTCACTATATCCATCTGAAGCTATTGCTCTGTGAATTTTCTCATGCCCATCTGTCTGATCAGGATGAATAACTCTGTAGCAGAAAACCATCAGTTTGATAGTTGAAGTTCAACTCTTCCAATCAGTAAAGAATGCAGTAAGCACTGTGTTAAAATGAACCCTGAAAGATATCCTTGCTTGAAAGCCAATTCTTTACAGGCTCTGTAGGAAGGGTAGGCAGAGAAGGATCACACTATTCAAAGAAGTAGCTTAAATGCTCAGACTTTTGCTGTGGAAGGGGTGATGGGCCAAGTGAGACCCTGGGGGTCAGGATTAGGTAGGAAGCTAACAAATGGAAACATCCTGGTGGGTGCCTCCGGGAAGCCTTGTCAAGGCTCATGAAGAACCGAGGGAGGCGATTACAAAGAGGCAGATCAAGTTACGAAGGGTAAATTGTGCCTTGCCAAGCTGACAGCTTTCTGTGATTAGATGACTAGCTCTGTGGATGAGGGGAAATCAGGAGGTGTCATTTGCCATTTTAGCAAGTCTTTCATCACAAATTCTCAGTCTTGTAACCAGATGAGAGAGATAGCGAATGGATGGATGTACTAGAAGATGAGGGGGACACTGACTAGACCACCAGACCCAAAGAGTAGTGGTCAGCAATTCAAAGTCCAGTAACTGATGGCAAGTTACTTGTGGTGTTTCTACGAGTTGATACTGGTGCTAATGTTGTTTAACATCTTCATTAATAACCAGAATGATTAGATAGAGTGCAAGGTTTTAGATAACACCAGACTGGGCAGAGCAGGTGATACATTGGACAGCTGCCGTTCAGAGGGATCTCAATAGGCAGGAGAAATGGGCTGAGAGGAACCTCACAAAGTTCAATGACAATAGGCTGGAGTTCCTGCACCTGGAGAGAATAAAAGATGCAGCAGTCCCAGCCAGGCACAGTCTGGCTAGGCAGCAGCTTTGCAGAGTGGAGAACAAGTTGCACATGAGTCAGCCATGTGCCCTTGCAATGGTGAAGGCTAATAGCAAACTGGGCTGCAGTAATAACAGCCTAGGCAGAGGTCTGAGGGACATCTGCTCATCACCTGTGAGACTGCTTTGGCAGTACTGTGTTCACTTCTAGGTTCCCCAAAATGCCAAAGTGTGTTGGGTGGAGGATAACCAAGATGGTGGTGCACACAACAGAGATGGGGTCAGGTGCACAGAACATACAAAAAAAGGCTGGGAGAGCTCAGTTGGTTAAGCCTGGAGAAGAAGAGGCTGTGGAAAGAATCTAACTGCTGTCTTCAACCATCTAAAGAGTGGTTAGAGAGGAGGCAAAGCCAAACTCCTCTGAGAGATGCACAGGAGAAGTATGAGGCAAGACACAAGTTGCATTAAGGGAAATTCTGATTAGATATAAGAGAAAACTTTTCTCCATGAGGGTGGTTTAACACTGAAACAGGGATGCAGCAAGGCTGTGAAAGTCCTTCTGAAAGCAGCTACAGCTGATAATGTGGAGGATGTGCAGGTTCTGCTTGTGCTTGTAAGAAGAAGTAAAAGAGTAACTGAGTTTTCAGAAGAAATTCCAAGTCCCCTAAGTATTATTTGTTATAGTGTTCCCACAATTACTAGTTTCTGATTGAGAAATCTCTTTAGCTTTACTTCAGGATAATCTGATATGGATATAAGTCTTTGTTCCTCAGTGGGTTAGAATGGATTGGTGACAGTATGAGAATGCTTTGGAAAATGATGTTTGCTGTTTCAAATAGGTATTGTTTTTTAAAGCAGTGGAAAGATGCTTTCATTCTGAAGATTTCAAACTTTGTTCATATTTGGTACTAGACCTTCTCACAGTATGTAAAAATAAAAAGAAGATTAAATCAATGAAAGGCAAAATTTGGTAGAGAATACTGTAAAAAAAAAAAAAAATCTTTTTATTCCTGTAGCAAAGGTAGCAGTCTTTAACTGTATGGAGCTAAATAGTCATGTAAGTAAAACTAAGATTCTAAAAAGGAAATCCTTTGTTTAACCTTCAGTGATAATACAGTTATAAATAATTCCATATGCCTAAAGCTAAAAATATTATAATCAAATGGCCTTCAGCTTTTATCCATCACTCCAAAGTGTCCAGTGTTATTGGGCAAAATGGGAATAAATGGATATGGGTGTATAATATCTTTTCAGATACTAAGCATTTTAATATTAAACTGTACCTTACTATGATAACTGATACATGCCATGAAATGTATACATACCAAATTGTATGCATTTTGGTTTTGTTTTTTTATTCACAGGTTACACAGTTGTATAGAAATAAGGCCATTAATCATCAGTAGCTGTTGTGCAGTAACATATGATTTCTCTGAACACAGAATTATCTTACAATAACTACACCAAAATTGGAAAGAAACTGTGATATTATCAAAGCATTTGAATTGCTGCACTACTGTTACATTCTTAATTCAGGTTATGTTACTTAGGTTTTGAAAACCTGCAGTGAGTATTTGACAATAGAAGTATGATCAGTGTTTTCAGTAGTGCTGTAATCATCCCTGCCATGCACAAAGAGGCTCTGCAGCCTATACAACTTTAAAGTACAGGCAGTCATTCATTGGCTAATATACAATGTAGATAAATAGAACAAATGAGCCGCTATGCTAAGCAGTAGCATGTTGATCAGCCCAATACAATGCCTGAAGAGTCTTTGCTGACCAAGCAGGCATCACTCAGGCAGAGAAGGGGTGCCCTCTATCACTTTTTGTACTACGCTGACTACATGTTGATCCTTCTTCTCCTGAGTCCTTGAGCTATTAACAATCCCATCTCAGCAGTCCTGCCTCTGTCTGACATTTTACTTACGGTGCGTGGCTCTACTCTACACTTTCTCACAGCTCTGTAGTTTTCTCCAGAGCCTGAGCCAAAATTATGCATCTGGGCTGAATCACAGCTCGGCCTTGGGTCACCACCACTGAACCCCAGAGTGGGAAGAGGAAGAGGTTAAGGCATTTCAGGTGGCTGGAAACTAGCCTGGATATGGGCTTCATCAGTAAGTTAAATATCAGGCTGGGCAGCTTCAGAGATTCACAAATCTTTTTAAACTGGGTCTACATTTCAAACTGAACATCAGCTGAGTGCATATGAACCATGCAGAATATATAGCTTTGACATAAATATCGTAGTATACATGCATATACATATACTACATACCGATAAGTTGTGTAAATAAAAAATGTTGAGGTTTATCCTCTGTAAAGATCAGTTGATCATCTTGCTTTTGCTCAAACACAAAAAGTGGACTTGTAAGGTAAGGGAAGCTGAAACCCTCACCCCCAAGGTTCCCTAATAATTTTAAGTTGAATACTTCACGTTTCTTATAGTTCTACTAAAAAATGAATGACTAGTTATTATATATTCAGGATGTGATCCAAAGCCTAATGAAATTGAAAAGAACGACCACGGTGAGCTCTGATTTGGAGGCTGAGAATCTATTTCCTTCATCCTTAATTGACTGAACAGTACCCAAAGTAATGTACTGTTGTACGATGTGAATTCAATAGGAAGATAGGTTTTTAGACTTTTCATTTAATGTTTCATTATGGGCATTTCAATATTAATGAATTTCACATTTTTAAATGTCTTTTCTCTTTTTCTTTTCCCCTTTCAGGCAAGCCCTGCCCCTATAATTGTCAACACAGACACCTTGGACACAATCCCTTATGTAAGTATTATTTTTTTTAATAATACATAGAATTTTTTATTTTCCCACAGAAATTCTATTCAGTATTGCAAAGAAGTTATAAACAAATCTTACAATTAATCATGTCTTTTACAGTTACACAGTTAATTCTTTTCTAGAAGAAGAAATCAGGAATGATAATTGCACTCAGGTGAATTACAGCATATTTTATATACACATAATTTGTAGTTTAGACTTCAAGACATAAACTGTAACTTACTAAAACTAACCTTTCTTTGAAAAAAAATGTGATTTCATTAAGCCTTTCCTCCTTACCTGTAAGATAAAGTGCAAATATTTCCTTTTAGAGCAGCATGCACCCTCCTAGCTTATTACGAATATATCTAGATGCACACTGTGATATTAAAATGGTGCAAAAAGCTCTTTATTTCGCTGTCTATATTCCTTTTGTAGATGAAAGCCGTTCATGATAAATAACAGCAAAAACTAGATGACTTCATGTTTTCTTATTAATCTCTTAATCTTTATGACTTCTAGAAAAAACAATTTTACCCTAAAATAAATACATGTTTTTACTAGAGTTCAAAAGATCTGCCTTTCTACAAGCATTTGATATCATTGTCGTTTTAGACTGTAAAAGCAACTATAGTTGAAGATAAAGGACACAGAGAAAGACAAAGTGAATACATAATAGAGGGTAACAGGCTTAAATGATTGGAGGCAAGAAAAGCAAGTAGTACAAAGCTAGCCAGCCAGTGTCTAATCTTTCTCCTTGCACACTCTTAGTTATCTTTTTAAAGCTCCTAATTAATGTCTCTCATCTGTCGTGTTTTGTCCACATCTGTTTCTTACGATACCAATGCATAAGCCTAATGATTTATCCACCTACACCAAGCATATTTCTGGGTTCTGTCTTTTAGAAGACTATTGATGAGGAAGTTTAATAGGGGTTGTCCTGGCCAGCCTGTTTGTTTCTGACAATCCATAAAACTTAGAAATTAGTGTGCAGAATACACATAAAGATCACAGCCAAGAGCAATTTAGAAGAATGACACTGCTGTAAAGCAGAAGAGAATTAAATCCCTTGTTGGGAATTTCAACCACTGGGAAGGATGGAAAAGTTAAATAAAATTTCTCTGTTCATTTGCATTCAGCTCTCTTAAAAGGTTTCCTATAATTTCTAAGTCTCAGTTTTCCTTCCTAACATCGGAACCATCTGCTCTGTTCTCACTTTCAATAGGTCTGGCTTTTCTTCTGTTTTAATGAGATATCTTACGCTTAGTGTTCTCTAGGTCTACCAAGAGGGATGTTGTGAGCCCCAGTACTCATTTCCAGTGCTGGACCTGTGCCCAGGATACTCTGTAGCTACGGTGTTAGAATTCTTAAATACAGATGCAATTACACTAGTGACAAGATGTTCAATCAATATGATTTATTCCCATAACACAGTCTATCAATACTTATACACTTTTATACCACTTTTATACTAGTGTTCCTTTCACTTAAAAAAAAAGGACAAATGACCAAACACATTCAGGAGAAATATTGACAGTAGACTGAAAAGTGCCTGTGGGCTGTTTCAGTCTCCAACACATGATGTGAACTAGATAAATAAACAGAAGGTGTTTGTTGTAAAAATAGACAATTCTGAATTAGTCACCTTGCTTTTACCCCGGGCATGGGAAGAGTTATGTCCCTCCAACATGGGACTGTCGTGGTTTAACCCCAGCCAGCAACTAAACACCACACAGCCACTCACTCACTCCCTCCCAGTGGGATGGGGGAGAGAACTGGAAGAGTAAAAGTGAGAAAACTCATGGATTGAGATAGAGAGAGCTTAATAAGTAAAGCAATAGCCGCGCACAAGCAAAGCAAAACAAGGAATTCATTCACTACTTCCCATCGGCAGGCAGGTGTTCAGCCATCTCCAGTAAAGCAGGGCTCCATCACGCGTAATGGTTATTTAGGAAGACAAAACGCCGAATGTCCCCCCCTTCCTTCTTCTTCCCCCAGCTTTATATGCTGATCACAATGTCATACAGTATGGAATATCCCTTTGGCCAGTTGGGATCAGCTGTCCTGGCTGTGTCCTCTCCCAGCTTCTTGTGCACCCCCAGCCTCCTCGCTGGTGGGGTGGGGTGAGAAGCAGAAAAGGCCTTGACTTTGTGTAAGCACTGCTCAGCAGTAATGAAAACAACCCTGTGTTATCAACACTGTTTTCAGCACAAATCCAAAACATAGCCCCATACTAGCTACTATGGAGAAAATTAACTCTATCCCAGCCAAAACCAACACATGGACACGGCAGAGCTACCAAAGAGGAACTCATTTAGACTAGCCAATCAGAAATGTCAAGGTGAAGCATATCTGCTGAGCCCAGGCCAACATAATGCCCCACAGGACATGGGGTCTTTGCTTTACAAATAGGCATTTGTTTCAGATCAGGATTTGTATGCTTGAACATTCTCCAAAATGAGACAGACAGACAAACATATGGACAAATAACCTCTTCCTCCAACCTAATATTTGGGAGAGTGGGCTGTGAGACCTATGTTTTCCTTTCTGCCCCAGGACTAGTTCAGTTTAGTTTGGATTGCTTTCTTTTTATGGTATTTCCTCTGCTAGAAAGGTGCTGTAGTCACTGGGCCAGATATATGTTTGCTTGTGTGTGTATCCCCTCCTGGCTCAATGAACCTTTCAAAAGCAGGCTGATGGTCAGCATGTGGTGGGTTGACTCTGGCCAATAGCCAAACACTCTTCTCACTCCCCTCTCCTGTGGGGCAGGGAGAAAATAGAAGGAAGCCAAGAAGAGTTGTATATTGAGATAATGACAGTTTAATATTGAAAGCAAACCTGCATGTGCAGGCAAAGCAAAATAAGGAATTCATTTACCGCTTCCCATCAGCAGGCAGATGTTTAGCCGTTTCCTGGAAAGCAAGGCTTCATCATGTGTAGCAGTTACTTGGGAAGACAAACGCCATAACCATTAAAGCTCCTTTTCCTGAGCTTTTATTGCTGAGCATGATATCATATGGTATGGAATATCCCTTTGGTCAGTTGGGGTCAGCTGCCCTGTCTGTGTCCCCTCCCAACCCTTTACCCACCCCCAGCCAACTTGCTGTTGGGGGAGGCAGGGTAAAATGGGAAAGAGAGAAAGCCTTGATGCTGTGCAAGCTCTGTTCAGCAATAACGAAAACACTAGTGTTTTCAACATTGTTTCAGCCATAAATCAAAGCATAGCATCATATGGGCTACTATGAAGAAAATAGTAGACCAGACCTGGTACAGCCTATAATACCATGTGGGGTCTATAACACAGCCTATAACACGGTGGGGTGTTAGTGGGGCTTTGTCTCTCAAATATTTGGAAAGGTAGAGGAAAATCTTCCAAAACTGGATGAGCTAAGTGCATGATAACGCAGCCATCATCATATCATTTTCTTACAGGAAACATAATTTAGCAGATATGCCCTAAAATATTTTTTTCAGACAGGTCAGTTCGTAGAGATAACAGAAAGCTAGATTTAATTATTATTTTGAAACTTGAACATAAGTCAAGCACCTGCCTTTTCAGGACTTCCAGACATGCCTGCAGGAAGACTGTAAACGCCTAGGGACATATCTGGTGAATGTTTAAGTATCCTTAGAGTTAGCTAGCTGGTTATTAAAGCTTCCAAAATGTATAATTCTTTTTTAGTTACCATGAAAACCCATCTAACACTACAGGGACAAATTATTTTATGGATCAGAGAAGTCAAGTTCAATTACGATATTTTCTGTCCGAAGCTGAAAGCAGCCATGATGTAAGTGGGCATAGAGTAGTCAATCCTCTCTCACAACTGTAACGTGTCTAAAACACCCAGGAGTGTTGATCTTCGGGGCTAGATCCATCTTAGATCCCTGCTATTCAGCTCCTGTTGTCAAGCCTCAAAGCATTTTTAGAGTCCAGGAAGCCTCCTATGGGAGGAACAGGCAGAAATTTTTAGATCTTACCAATTGGACCATGTTTCCTATGATGCCATTCTTTTTCTCATATCCTTTTTTTCTCTAGTCTTAGATGCTTGTCCTTTAATTCTTTCATTTGAATGTGCATTCCACAAATCTGAATACCATTTCTAAATTAACTTAAATAAAATTAAAAGGCAAGTGTATAGATATGCAAGTGATACATCTCACAAAAATTTTTGACATATTAGTTTTTGATTTCTGACTGTTGAATTTTTTTTAAGATGCTTTTCATGACAACTGGTTAATGCTGCCCACTCACGTTTTTGCAAAGAAAACCGCTAATTTAAAAAAATAAAACCATATATAATTTTTTCTTTTATTAAAATCTAATTTTTCTTAAATAACTATAATTCTAATTGTATTTACTATAAAAAGTTAAGTAATCCATTTTATGCCATATAGAAATTGTTTTCAAATTTTAAACACTGGAATAAGCATAAATTTGCAAATTTTGGTGAATCATGATGGTCTTACTTTTCTCTGACATTACTAGCCACAACTGATAGCCTGATAGATCCCTAAATAAGGTCAGGCTATTTTTAGTGTTGTTACTTCTGATTTCATTTAGCTGTTGTCTCAGCAGCGTGAGAAACCTGTCTCATGGTTTTGTTTAAAGCAATATACCTTCAATGCATTTCCATTTCAATAACAGCTCCGCTCATCCTCTCTGCCATCTTCTTTCAAAAATTCCTGAGTGTTTTCAGAGGGAGGGGGCCTCACAGCAATGATCAGCATTCACAAAGCATTTTCAAATGTAATGTTTCCACTGGTCCACCAGAGAGAAATTTCCTTTTTACAGTTAGTATATAACTGGTAAACTGCGTGATTTGTCTCATTAACATTCTAATGATTTAAACTCATGTAATTAAACCTTTTGATACTGTTGACATTCTTCAAACCGTTCAACTCAATAGTTTGGAAAAAAAAAATCATCCTGTGAGGAACTGTCTGTCATCAGTATGCTTTTTTTAAATGAGATAAAAGGCCTTATTCTATTATATTGTATGTTACTC